TCGGTTCGGAATTCGGCCCCTCTGCTGCGGACAGGGGTTCGACACGACATTCACCTTCAGGCTGAGCTCGCCGTCCCTCCGCTGCAACACCATGGATGGTGTATACACGCACTGCCGCTCGAGGGGCGCCGACGGGCTAGCCTTCGTGATACAGGGAGAGGGCCCGACGGCTCTGGGAAGAAGCGGCATGGTGAGTTGCAGCCTAGGGAGAGAGCCAGGGAGGAGGCATTAACGAAACAAGAGACGAGAAGGCTAGAAACGCGAAGAGAATCTTAAATACGCAACGTATCAAATCAATCAAGCCGATGTGTGCACCCGTTCATACGAGACGACGAGAGACTGATACAACCGTATTACCGTACAGGACCACGAATAAGTTGGTAGAGTTGGTGAAGCAGTACTATCGTGGGAAGCGAATGGTACTATCCCGTGTCAGATCCCGCATCTCGATATTTACTATTCTCATCCGCATCGGCAGTTCAAACACCCGTTCGACACAGAAGCATTTCCCAAACACTGCCAATTCGCTTCCTGGCACTAGGGTATGGGGTATGCTGGTATCTCCAATATGTTGGCCGTCGAGTTCGACACGCACTACAACCCCGAGATGCTCGAGCAGTACGAGAACCACGTCAGCGTGCAGACCAGGTGTGTGTGCGGTCGTTGGTGGCACCGGGAGCCATACGTGTAGCCGGAGCCTCCACAGCAGCAGCCCAGTACTTGCACTCAGTTACGAAGAGGGCGGTCCAGTAGCGCCACTGTGACTTGCTAACCCAACCACTCGCTTTCATACCCTCCACGTCCACTTGGACGGCATGGATGCCGCCGCGACCGCTCGTGACGGGGCAGGGGCTGGAGACACGCCGGCAGCGCCCACGGTTCTCATTCACTAGGGTCCACACCGAACGTGCCCGACCTCACTGACCAAGAGGTGACGGCGAGGGCCGTGTACACGCCGATAGTCACGCCGGAGGCCGTATCTCACCCCAACTTTCAGGCCTCTTCCCACTTTGGTAAGCCAGAAGAGAAGGAGAAGAGAAGGAGTCGACAAGCGTAAGTTGGCATATTTGCGTTTCGCTCACGACGGAGTATCCAGTAGGGTAGCTCAGTGTTTTTCGGCTCTTGGCAATACCGGGTGCAGCTGCTTACACTGTGGAACCCCTATGACCAAGTAGCACTACACTTGTCGGCAGTTCTCGTTTCCCGAGTTCTTGATCAGTCTTTTCCATTGCGGTGACCTGAGAGTGCCTTAGACCAAACCTTCACACGTCCCGCAATATATCAACGTAGCCACGACCGACCCCAGTTTCCCGCACGCCCCGCCTCGCTGGTGCATACAGGGACCTTTTTAGCTCAGGGGGACAGAAACGAAGGGGGTGGGGAGGGAGCCGCAGATTGGGCGACTGGAATCGGAACCCTAAGCGTCTACGTTGGGAACTTGGACGTGAGAGAAGGCTTGTACGAAAACTGGTCTGCGAAAATATATTTGGCGTCTCGCCGCTTGCGCGCTACGAAATGAAAAACAAACGTGTTTGGTGAAATCCTCACCTGTGCCATCCAAAGTGAGTTGAGATGCGAGGTTCGAAGGCGTGCTGATCACGGCCGCAAAAGAGCCATGAATGGACTGCCTGCCCCCTGGTGAACCATACATGTATCGGAAAACCGGAGGCCTAAAATTAGGAACGGGGACATCAACATGTGGTAATCACGGTGCTAGTTAGTCTATGTGCTGGCCTACACAACTCGTTGCAAACAGCGACTTCTGCAATTACACTCGCTAGTGCACCGCATGCGTACACCACTCTCTGTAGTGAGGGAACTACCCCGCCAAGTTCAAACATGGCATCTATCTAATACTAAACGATTACGCAGTGCGACAACGCAAAGGGATGCCCGGTAAGTGAGCGTTATCCTGGATAGCAGCCGAGAAAAAGCCAACCTAGCCCCGAGCAGTCGGGACCTGCGTACTGGAATGGCACCTGTAAGGCGTGAAATGTACTCCCCCCCCCTTTTTTTGCGGCAACCATGAATGGTGGTCGAGTAGATCATGTTGTGCGGGGTCGAGAACCCTCACTCCGCGCAAAGGGGGATGATCGCACCACGTTGTGTTAAATTGGTCAAGCACTCTCGAGGCAGTTACACAGTGCCTACAAGTGTCTCTGGAAGTGAAAGCACCAGAAAATACATTAAGCCATACGCAGCGGTCATCCGTACGCAAGGAAGTAAGCACAAGATGCCGAACACCCTTAGCAGGATGCATCGCAGCCTTCATGCGACTCGCCGAATATCTCACGGCGCTTCGCGCTTGGTGATGTGAGAGCCTGGTCCGGTGAGAACCCGGCGTGCTCCGTCCCGGCTTTGTAGGGATGCGAGGTCAATGGTCTAACGACTACGGCATGCACGACTATGAGTATTCTACACCCCCCCCCTCCCTCTCCATGCCCTAAGACGTTCCTTTGGCCCTATGTCGACGCCAGGAGCTCCTTGTACATCCTGTTCTACCTCAAACTTGCTCTGATCATCCCATGAGGTATTTCACACGTACTTCCATCCACAGCCACGACACCCTTCCTCCTGCACTTCGTCAAACACCGCACTTCCTTCAACAACTCATGTGATGCGTTGATATGGTCCACCCAGGAGCCCTGTCTGGTGGTGCCGTTGAATCTGGAGGCTACTCTGCGCCTTAATCATGGGAGGAGCTTCGTAGGCTTCACCGCCGGCACGGGGAAGGATACTTGGCAGGTTAGACCGGGAGACGCTATGTTCAGGAGAACAACTCTCGTACAACGATCAATCCCAAATCCTTTTGTACGCTTGTCCTTCCCTTGCAAGCGGCGCTCAGTTACTATGCACGCTGCATGCATGAGAGACGAGAAACACTTTGTGTCATTCATTTCCTAGAGACCCCAGTTGGACAGTCCCTCCAGCAACCGTTTCTTAGTCAGGGGTGGTCGACTAGAGGTGTAGCTTCAGGCTAATCTTGCTCGTAGACGGCCATCCAACGACGGCATGTACCCTCCAATAGTTTACCTCGCTTTCGCACACGTTTAACAAAGTTCATCCGTACCCTGGCAGTCGTCGCACATCGTCATCAGTATCGTAAGATGCATAAGATGTCACACACCCTGGGCCGATTTACGAAGCTCGATTACTCCACGGCGAAGGGGATATTGAAATGAAGTCGTGTTTGTTTTCGGAAAGCTCTCGACGGGACGGTTCCAACGCCGCCGCCATTTCCGGCACCGTCACTGCTTTTCCTGCCGAGATATCAAGCGTCGAAAATTGGTCCAGTGGGTGTGATATCTTATGCAACCAACGGTATTCGACGGCCGTATGCCTATTGGAATAGGACTGGATACGGAACCCTGTCGGGGTGGATCGTGATCTCGGCCAAGACCCAAAACAGATAATAGGCACAAAACTGCGGCGCGTTCATTTGCCCATCCATCAAGACCCAAAAAAAGAGCATCGCAACCAAGACATGTTACAAATGATGTACCAACGGACCGCCGTGCGGGGAAACACATATTGCCTGCTGCCTGTGGGCATGGGAGGGCGCATTTCGATAAACTGAATGGTCTCGCTGCAGACTCTGTATGCGTTGCCATGCAAAACAAGATACACCCGCGTCCTGACGGTCTCGTGGTATGTACACTAACATGCTGCGTACGGCACTGCACTGTAAATGCTCAATTCCACCCCCTCCGCCTCTCTTACCCTGCCGACCCTCTTCGTTTTTTTAGGTGCACGATGTGCTCAGATGGTCGTTCTCCAGCCTGCGACAAGACACGCCTCACTGGCCACCACCAATGGTCGAGGAAGGTCAATTCATAGACGTAGCCGTCAACGATACCTCGTGCGTTGAGGGAGGAGGCGTTTCGTGCACCGCCACGCCTGGAACCGTCCTGTAGAGTCATACTTCTGATTGGGGAAAACGTGGTCCTAAAGGTCGTGGGTGCAGTGGGCGCGGGAATGTCTTTGGATCTGTATGCATGCCGCGCCGCTTGCGATGAAATATGCTGTGTCTCATGCACCCCTTCCAAGTATGGAGTTGGCGGAGTCCGTTGGTATCTCGGCGGCAGCATAGAAAATCAAAGTGTGCTTGGGCCGAGTGAGCTTCCAACGCGACATGGTGCCAATATCCATTGTACGACGAAAGCTCATACGGTGAGTGTTGCGCCAGAAGTGTGCGACCGTGCGCGCTTTGGTCCTCTTGACCGGTTCGCCTGTATCTTCCTGTCGTGATCGCTCTTGTTGGTGCTCGAACAATATCGGAGAAAATCAAATCCCAGGGTCGGCGTGGCAGCAACCAACGGCACATCATGTTCATTTCAGAGGTGGTTTAGTAGTGAAAATGTGTGTGGGCCGAGAGAGTTTACCAATGCGATCTGGAGCAAATAAGTCGTGATACACGAAAGCGTATTCGGTACGCCGATGCGCCACCACTAAATACGCCAAAAGCGTGCGGTCGTGTGCGACCATGCGTGCTGTTTCTCTTCTCTTCACCGGCACGCCGTCTTCCTATCTCTATCGCTCATTTCTTTGTCATCTCCTCAAATGAAAATACTTTAACAAAGTCGAATCCCATCTAGGGATTCAGATGCATTCATTCGTTGTAACAGCCTATCTTTGTCAACAAATTGGTGAATTATCAAATGTGCTTAGTCTGAAACCAAAGGGTGTTAATAACTGTGCACGGATCCGTTCAGACGAATTTTTCGCGACGAACTTCCTCCTCCGAGGGTTTGGTCGGAATTCAGACAACCATAGACACGACCGAAGGGTTGATTCGGAATTCGTTGGGGGTCATTTCGTGTCCAAACGGGATAGCCGGGGAAATAATTGTCTAGCGGAGGTTTAGTCCAATGCAGATTTGGATTTTTCTGAAACATCATGCTGCTCTGCTGCCGTCGGTCCGGTCCTCGGAAACCTCAAACATAAAATTGAGTCAAAGCAGTTTCGGCGTTCCGATCGGAATGCGGAAACGTTTTTGCAGTATGTTCTATTTCAACATGTTCACCACAACGTTCAGGCGTTCGGATCCGAACGACGAAACGTTTTGGCCGTCTGTCTGGTGCATAGACTATTCAAGTAACTTCAAACAACGTTTCCACGCCTATAATCGGACACACGCAGGGCCAACAATTTATCGGCTCACACACCGGCCCACACATCCACACGCTAACCCTCGCGCTCCAGGTCCCCACGTACGGCGTCAACCTCGTGTGAAGGCCGCGTTTCCGGTTTCCAACAACAACAGCAGTCAGTCGGTGCCGGCCTTGCAGACGATTATTATGCCCATGCGCGTGAAATTTGTTTTTTCGAAGGGCCTGGCATCTTTTAGGATTTTCCGCTCAATCACGTAGTAACTAAATAGTCGAAGCCCACCCCCGACCTTTCCTAATATATATAATACGCCGCGGTGACCTCTACGGCAGATCGCCCCTTGCTCTCACAGGAGCAGCTGCAGTGTGCATTTTTCTTTTTGCTGCTTGCTGCTGCAGCTGCTGAAATTGTTCGTACTCCACTACGTCATCATCGCCGTTGCTTATTCAATCCATCCCCCGATGAAACTCCCCCACCATTTATTGTTTTTCTTTCGAATTGCCTTTTTGCATTAATGTTTTCTCTTCACACGCGGGGAAGAGAGAGAAACCACGCCGACAGAACACGATTCCTGTAGACGCCCTCTGCGCCTGTCCTACCGTGTCTCTGTCCATTCATTCTACTGTCTCTCTCTCTTCCCAAAGAAAACAGCCCGGGGTTTCTCATTCCACCGGTGTGGGGAACTC